CGTGCAGCTTCTTATGAGCGATTCCTACCTACCAGGCGCAGTTGTTCTTGCAAACTCTCTGCGCGATGCCGGCACCACCAAGAAGCTTGCCGTGCTCGTCACGATGGAGACGCTTTCAGCTGATACCATTTCAGAGCTCAAGACGCTCTACGACTACCTGATTCCCGTCGAGCGCATACGGAACTCTAGTCCCGCGAACCTCTATGTCATGGGGCGACCCGATCTGGCCTTTGCCTTCACAAAGATTGCTCTGTGGAGACAGACTCAGTTCCGCAAGCTCGTGTACCTCGACGCAGACGTGGTAGCTCTGAAGGCGTTGGACGAGCTATTCGACATTGAGGCGTCATTTGCTGCCGCTCCAGACATTGGCTGGCCCGATGCTTTCAACAGTGGTGTCATGGTCATCAAGCCAGATATGGGCGAGTACTGGGCACTACAGACCATGGCAGCGACTGGTGACAGCTTCGATGGCGCAGACCAAGGCTTACTGAACCAGTACTTCGAACACCGTCCGTGGCAGCGATTGAAGTTTACCTACAACTGTACGCCAAATGCCGAGTACCAATGGGAGCCCGCATACCGCCACTACAAGCGCGACATCGCCGCGGTCCACTTTATCGGCAAGAACAAGCCCTGGATGGCCCAACATGCGGGTGGGAAGGGTGTCTATGGAGAACTGGTAGCGCGATGGTGGGCGGTGCATCAAAGGCATCTGCACAAGCCGAAGGGCCAACGAGCTGGTGAGGGAAAGAGCACTCTTGGTGACTCCATGCTTTCTTCCTCTACTCCTGCCCCTCTCGAAGCCTCCGCCGTTACGACCGAGCCTCCCATGACCGAATTTGAAGATGAGATTCAGAATATTGACCAAGGTGTGATAGAACCAACCCCCACGGTCGAACAACGCAAGTTCTCTGCGCCCGAGATGCAATGGGACGCCACCAAGTACGCTCTTTTCACATCGAGATCCCTGGGTAACAGCTGACAAGTCCAGGTTCGAGCCACCAGCGTCATCGAGACCCGAAGCTGCCAACTTCCCTACGCAAACGTATGCCTTCAGTGATAGCCGATCGCTCTTCAAGGCACCGCGAGCCTATCCCGATGCGCCGCGAGACATGTGGTACCAAGTTCCAGAAACCAGGGAAGCGCCCAAGCCTATCTTCCCATGGGAGCAAGAGGCGGATAGACCTAAGCCGACGCGTGTGTTTGCCGAGGACTTGTCACCACAGCCAACCCCTCAGGTAATGTCGCCGACACATGCTTTCTCAACCACACACTTCGAGGAGAGCGAGAGAGTAGCTCCAGTCGCAGCGGAAAAGGTTAAGAATCCCGTCGAAGATCTTTTCTCGAGTTCTACTGACCAAGGTTGCCAGTCTTACCAGAACAACAGCGGCAACGCCTGGGATAATGTTCCAGGCATCGACAGCTATGTTCGTGCCATATCGGATCTGAGTGGAATACGGGGTAAGAACCAGTCGCTACAACAGACCACAGGCACGGACGACATTAGTTCGCCTATATTGGATCGCAAGCAACGCCGTGAGAGCTTAGTCCTCACCGACTTCCCGTCCGCAGTGGAGCGACCGAGTCTTCCTGTAACACCTGCGCCGGTTCGTCGTCCAATGTTCTGGGGCGAAGAGAGGAACCAGACAGGCGAGCTACCTTCTGCCACAGGAGTACCTGATCAGACCGAATGGGTATGTTCCAGTTCCACCTTTTCCTCTTTCAATATTGAGCTGACTGTGAACTCTTAAGAATCCTGAGGAGAAGCTTGACCAGTTACGGCGGTCATCCCTGATCGAATTCGAGCACCTGAAGAAAGACGAGCACCCAAACCCACCAATGCGTGCACTTCCTGAGCATTCAATTGCCGGGGAAGAGAAGACTGGCACTTCGTTTGGACTTGATGGGTCGAACGATCAGGGCATCCCCGGATCTTTCCCAAGCGTTGTCGAGAAAGACTTTGCTAGCAGCGACCCTGCACCAGACGTGCGACCGAGTTCCAGTGATCGTTCTTTCGCACATGGGGACGAGAGCTCTGCGCCCCAGCACTACTCCCAGCAGGACTTTTCCTCTGGATCTTCCAGCACCTTTGGGCAGAACTTCTCAAGCTCCACATCGCAGTCGACGTCTACGGAACAGACTACCAGTCAATCTTCACAGTCCGTCCAGGCTGGAGGCATGACTTTCACTGTCCCCGTCTTCGAGGACGGTACTTCAGCTGACGCCCAAGCCGCTGGGGATGATCTCAGTCCGACACAGAGCCGGACCTAGAAAAGAATGATGAACGAGTGATGGATATCAATGTTTGCGGTACCAATTTGTCGGTTATTGACCATGGACGATCTCTTGCTGTTAACGATGGAGGATACATGTTGCGATGTCAGTTTTACCCTTTCGTCTTGATACCTGTATGTTTCGTGTCTTTCGTTCGCGAGCCTTGTAGCATTTGCATCGTCACTGCATAGCGATCTGTTGTAGCTCATTATCCATACCTGCTTGCAGGGTTTGCTTCAAATTGTAAGATGTACAGGGTGATGGACTCACTTCACTCAATGGAAATCTGACCACCTTGGAGCCTACATTGACGCTAGTTCTTCTAGTCTGCGTATTTTCACCGCCATGTAGGCTGCACGCTTGTTCAGATTCTTCCTCGTATGAGTTAGGATGCCAACGATGACTGAAGACCGAGGCATGCGCGAGAATATGCAGGGAACATTTCGTGCATGCTTCCCTAGGCAAGCTTGGGCCAGCTGATCCACTCGTCGGAAGCTTGACAGGCTTGACTTGACCGACGCTGTGGTTGGCGTTCGCGCGTTTGCCCTGTGCCCTCTCAATCATGCCCCGCTTGCCCCTCCCCACCCAATTTGCCCTTGAGCAACGAGCACCTGCCCGATTCATCTCAGCCTGTAGACCGCGAATAAGCGCCACAGCCACTCATAGAAGCCTCTTCTGTCATCCACGAAGCTTCCACTTCTCGCCCTCACCGAGACTCGTCGCTACGCCTATCCGCTGCGACCAATACACGCCCGAACGAATTCCCAACGCCGCCTGGCCATATCTGTACCACCCGTTCAACAAGATGGCACACCTCGACCCGTACTTCAAGCAGGTGGATGCCTTGCAGGGAAACTTTATTGAGAGGCTGAGGGAGGCGGTCGCTATTCCTAGTATCAGCTCTGAAGACCAGAGGAGACCTGATGTAGTCAAGGTATGACAGACAATCCCAAACAAGCATGCAGTCGAGTCTGTGTCCGGGGTCAAGATTCCAGATGCATATCTGAATGTATGACTGACTTCAAATGCAGATGGGCCACTGGTTGGCCGACCAGATCAAGGCACTCGGTGGTGAAGTTGAGCTCCGCGAGCTCGGAAAGCAGCCTGGTCGCGAGCACCTTGACCTCCCACCGTGCCTTCTCGGACGCTACGGAAACGACCCAAAGAAGCTCAACGTCCTCGTTTACGGTCACTACGACGTGCAGCCCGCGAACAAGTCCGACGGCTGGGCGACCGACCCCTTCACCCTGAGCATCGATGACAAGGACCGCATGTACGGACGCGGTAGCACAGATGACAAGGGTCCGGTTCTTGGCTGGTTGAACGCCATCGAGGCCCACCAGAAGGCCGGTGTAGAGCTACCAGTGAACCTAGTCATGTGCTTCGAGGGTATGGAAGAGAACGGATCAGAAGGTCTGGACGACACCATCCGCGCCGAGGCCAAGAAGTTCTTCAAGGACGTCGACGTTGTCTGCATCTCGGATAACTACTGGCTAGGAACTGAGAAGCCATGCCTGACATACGGTGTCCGCGGATGCAACTACTACCAAGTTGAAGTTTCCGGCCCTGGTCAAGATCTACACTCCGGTGTCTACGGTGGAATGACACACGAGCCCATGACCGACTTGGTTCGCATCATGAACTCGTTCGTCGACCCCGATGGCAAGATCCTCATCAAGGGCGTCGACGATCTCGTCGCTCCCCTTACTGACGAGGAAGCCGCACTTTACCCACCCATCGCCTTCACCATGGACGGTCTGAGGGAATCACTAGGTGGTGCAGTAACGATCCACGACAGCAAGGAGGAAGCGCTGAAGCACAAGATGCGATACCCTTCATTATCCCTCCACGGTATTGAGGGTGCTTTCTACTCCGAGGGAGCAAAGACCGTTATCCCAGCAAAGGTTATCGGAAAGTTCTCCATCCGCACAGTACCCAACATGGAGATTGACCCAGTCACCAAACTGGTTGAGAAGCACGTCAACGACGAGTTCGCTAAGCTGAAGTCGAAGAACACGATGAAGTTCAGCGTGGTACACTGCGGAAAGTGGTGGGTCGAGGACCCCAACCACCCTAACTACACTGCTGCTGCCAAGGCTGTCGAGCGTGTCTTTGGTGTAAAGCCAGACATGACTCGGGAGGGCGGTAGCATTCCCGTTACATTGACCTTCCAGGAAGAGCTTGGCAAGAACGTCCTGTTGCTGCCAATGGGCAGCTCGACTGATGCGGCTCACTCGATCAACGAGAAGCTGGACAAGAGGAACTATATCGAGGGCACCAAGCTGCTAGGAGCCTACTTGCACTACGTCGCAGGAGAGATGAAGCGCGAGTAGAATGCCGCACTATGAGTAACATCGTCGGTCTTGTTCCCGTAAATACTTAGATGGTTTGCTACCAACAAGAAATAAATACCCATTCAGCAGTGTGCTTCTCAGTTGACCCTGGCTTGATGAGATGACAGATTCACGGTTTTGCGTCATCATTGATGCTTGTTAATTATCGCAAGCTGCAGCATGTTGAAATCTTATGAAAGATACTATACCCTGATTATGTGCCGGCGGTAGTCTGGGGGTGGGAAGACAGGATCCCGCCCAGCTTTGACCACCCCGGCGCGGAACAACTAAAAAAGTTCGGCATCGCTCCACCCAGGAAACGGCCAGCACCGTGCCAACAACGCGTGCACCACAGGCAGGCACGCCAACCCACACACACACGCCAATTCCACAATGTCAACATGTAAATCCCTCCTCCGAGCCTGTCCGTCGCAACGGACTCCACCGTTGCTCCTCCCCCTCACGCAATGCCGCTTCGAATCCACAACCCGGCGACACAGAAAACTGCTCGCACTCCCCGAAGCCCCATCCTACACCCCCGACCGCACAGCGCCTACATTGATTTTCAACCCCCCGTCCTCGGCGCCGAATGTATACCACACGCCGCTCAAGTTCCTGCCCAAGGAAGATAAGCGGAGAACGCTCTACGCAGCCGCACAGCAATACGCAACCAAACTAGCGCACACGCGGCAATCCTCGCCCATCGCCGCGCCCGGCACGCCGCTCGCCTCAGAAGCGTTTCTGCCGCCGCGCCCCTCTGCGAGCTTGCCTGCGCCGCTGCGGAAGCCGTACGAGAAGACGTATCATCTGACCGAGGAGGATATCGCTGAGATAAGGCGGTTGAGGAGTGCGGATCCGGATACGTGGACGAGGGTTAAGCTGGCGGAGAGGTTTGGTTGTAGTCAGTTTTTTGTGGGCATGGTGGCTAGGAATGGGGAGAAGGCGGAGAGGGTGGAAAGGGAGCATGAGGTTATGAGGAGGAAGTGGGGGAGTAGGAGGAGGGAGGCGAGGGAGGATCGGGGGAGGAGGAAGGGGCTTTGGGGGAGGGACGCTTAGATGGGTGTTATTGTATGATCGAGGCTTGGATGGCGCCGGAGCCTGGGTGGCTTGGGATAGGGAAATGATGTGGGGATGGGGTATACGATATGTGTAAAGAGCAAAAGGAATATTTGTAGTCTGGTATATCATACTACCGATTTGAAACACCTACCAGTCCAACATGTCGTTGAATCATGTTCTAAAGGGTATCATCCCAAGCCGTTGCAAACGCCAGACTCCTTCATGAAATACCACGCATCACCTCCCACCCTCCCTCTCCACCTCAACCCCCTTCCCTACCCTGAAAACAAACCCCTCGCTGTCCCTCGCCCCCACACCAACCCTCCAGCACTCAAACCGGCCTCGACTTACCACCTCCCACCGCTGCGCCCTCTCCCTCTCGGCATCTTCCACACTAATCCCCGGAGCAAACTTGAGCACATCCACTCGCCGAACTGCTAATCTTGTAACAGGCATACCCTGAGGCCACGACATAGGCAACGCCGGCCGGTACGATGACAGCAAGTTAGACTGCGACGTCAATACCGTAGCACAGGAGAGTAGCTTACCCAGCTTCGCAACGCGGGCGGTAAGCTGTGCCGATGCCGTTCCAAGACTATTCGAGGAGCTAGACACAGTAGTACTGGTATTCCGTATCGACCACACGAACGCATCGATGTCTTCGAGGATGACGGACTGGATACGTCGGTGCAGGCTCTTGTGCTGCGGACCGGGGTTGAGGAGGTAGGCTGGTAGCGTGTCGAGGGTGGATAGGAGCGTGGGCCAGGAGGTGGGGTGGAAGATGTGGAGGTGGGGGAGGGCGGTTTTGATGGCGGATTTCATGGAGGCTTTGTGGGTGGTGGTGATTGGATGTGAGGTTGTAGCGAGGTGGGTTTCGAGGAGGGTGAGCATGACGGCTACTAGGCGGGGGATGCTGAAGTGGTGTAGTGGGTCGAAGAGTATGATGGCGCTTTCTTGGCCGTGGAGAGGGGTGGAAGAAAAGCTGAGGGGGAGGATGGCGTGGGCGATGATGAGGTAGATGAGTGAGGTTTTTCCTGCTCCTGAGGCGTGATGGGTTGGCGGTGGAGAGATGATTTCGAGGATTGGTGAGGATGAGTTTAGCATTAGGCGGTCGATTTCTGGTATGTTGAAATGAGAGGGTTGGGCGGTGTTTGTGTTGTTGGCTCTGGATGGAATCAGTATCAATTTGTAAATCGCGAGAGTAGGTTTGGAGAGAAAAGATTGTGTGAGTTGTGAAGAATAAACGTACATAGCGTCTTCCTGCACCATGAACTCACGTAGAGACTTGAACAGCTGTATTTTCGTTAACATCGCTCACCTCGCGCATCGAGCTTGTGTCGATATTCCATACCGAGCTCAGGTCCTCGACCTCAACTTCCATCAACAACTTCTCCCCCAACCTCTTCGCCCCATCACCGTTCATTTCCATTTCCCATGCAGATCACCCCTTGATCCTCTCCAATCCTTCCCAAAACACAACCCTACTCTTTCAATATCCCTTCCCCCGCGCAATGGCGCCACCAATCTCCACAATCCCGGTGACGGACTTGGAAGTCTCGATCAACACTCTGCCGTCGGGCAAACGACGGAATCCACCGGTCAATCTGAGCGACTGCGCGCTAAAGGAACTCGTGCAGTATAAATGCAACGTTGAGGCGCCGAAGAAGAAGGGCGCTGGGCCGCAGATAATATGTGAGCCGCTGGTTCACTTGTTGAGAAAGTGAGTGGTGGGAGAGTGAGGTGGAAGGGACGAGGTCTTGGCACTGGGATCAAGGATTGGGAGTTGGTGTATCAGATTGAACATGTGGCTGATGAGATTATAGGTGTCCAGGAGGCTTGACTGTGGGTACTACGGCGTGGGAGGAGTGGAAGGCGAAGCAGGAAGGTGCGATGGTTGAGCGATGAGATCAAGTCACCACTCACGGCCCTACACAACATCACGCATGAGGTGGCTGTTTACACCAGAGAAATGATTGTTATAAATGTAATTTTCAACTATGAGATCTTGCTAAGGATTCCAGGAATAGATCCAATCTGTGTATGAGCTCGATAGAATGGATTAATGATGATTTCGCATTGACCAAACCTTGTGCAGCTTGCAGCTACGCTGTGTAGAAGACTATAGTACAACTTGCAACGAAAAAAAAAATATAGACAATCAACGCCGCCTTAATGCCTAAAACGTATCTCGAAGCCCCGCGGCCGAAATGCAGGTACCCAAACGCCTCGCTATCAAAATGCTAGTAAAACGACTTTTTTCTGAAGGTGTCGCCGCCATTGACCGGCTGTGACGAACTATGAGACGCCCGTCGCGGATTTTCTCCAGTACTTTTGGTCGTAGTTGACGTGTACGCCTTCTTCCAGATTGACGTTACGATCGGCGGTGGGCTGCCGTATTGGAGCGTCTTGATGCGTGTTGTAATCATCGTCGTCTTCGTCCATTTGAGCTTGCCGCCGCTCTTCCTCCTTCTCTCGCTGGTTCTCCTCGTCTAGCAGGTCGGTCATGGCGGCTTGCCACAGTTGGTCGCTCTCTTTCATGCGCCTACTGCGCTTCCGCTTGCCAACATTCTGCTTCTGCACGCCTGCCTTTTGCGCCGCCATGAGTTTTCGCAGACTCTGCTCGGCAAGGATGCCCTCTTCTGTCGCCTTCTCCCTGATTTTGCGCGGATCATTCTCGCGTTTTGTGAAGACGGGCGTCGCTGTGTATGTGTGTTTCGAAGGGAAGCCAGGGAAGTGTTTTGGTATATATGGACGCGTTTCTTTGTCCGCCTTGCCGGAGAGTCCAGGACCTAGCAATGACTCGGTGTCGGGCGGCGGAGCTTCTGGAGGCGCGGGGGGGGCAAAGTAGGGCTGTAAGATAGACGGCGGGATCTCGCCTGTGTCGAAATGTTGTTCGAGGGGCGCAGAGCCGCGTAGGCCGGCGGATGTGAGGGCGTAGATCCAGTCGTGTGCGACTGTTTCGGTGCGTCGCGCGCTGATCATAGACGTGCGTACTTGTGTTAGAAAGTTGGTCATGTCTGTGACGGGTCAGTCTGGAAAACTGCAGTGGGAACTCGCGGCCAGTCTCTGTCGCAAGGTGAAGCCATACAGGAATCAACCAGCGCCCGGAACTCCTCCAACGCGTCCGGACGCGCGCTCTCGAAGCCGATGCCTTTACATTGGATGGCGATTGCGCGCCGCAGCTGCTGGTCGAAGAAGTCTTTGCTCTCGCCAAAGACGTCGTGCTCGGCGCTGATGGGGTCGGCAATGTGCTGGATCGGCTGCGTGTGGTGCAGCGCCCGTACAACTTGTCGCTTCTTGGGGTGCGGCTCTCCGTACGTCGGCGCATGGTCCGCATCATGTGCCCGCTTCATGCCTGCGATTGCGCCCTCGCTGCTGGCGCTGGGGGATAGTATGATGCCTGGCATATGCTGCTCGTGGTCGCGGATCCGGTGGGAGGGTACGCCGTGGGAGGAGGTTGCGCACGCGATGGTGGTTCCGGGCACGTCTCTATCGGTGGGTAAGGGCGCAGACGGGAGTGAGAGGGCGCATCGGTTGCGAAAGGGTGCCCTCGCGATGGGAGCGGACGTGCAGGCGCGTATTGTTTCTTATTCGATGGTATTGTTCCTTTCACCTGCCTGCTGCCGTTATTCTTCAGTTGGGTCGGGAGCTTCCAAGGCGCGGGACGCTAGGACGCCTGCCTTACGTCAGCAGCACTGCGTTCTCCCGTCGAACCACCACACCTTCAGAGAGCCGCCGACGACATCCACCAGCTCCCGCAAACCGCACCCGCGCCCCAAAACTCTCCGCTCTCCCGAACTCAACTCCGCAATGGCTGTCAAACCGATTACCGGCGTAGGTGCTGCCATTGAGTGCCTTGGGCCGTAGTGCGCTGGATGCTAATGACTGGACTGCAGATGCTCCGACGACAGGTCGTGCTCGACCTCTCTGTCGCTATGGGTGCGTAGAAACCGGGCAGTGCATGTCTGCTATTTCCGCGGCTCAAAGAGCTCTGTAGCAATGCGCGCGTCAGCTTTGGACATTGGCTAACAGCAGTCACAGGTCTTGGCCTCACTGCCGGCTACGGCTGGTGGTACGGTACGTGAATCAGTCACAGGCGATGCGACTGCGCTTCCTATCCTCGAAAATCTTTCTTACGCCTATACTTACTATCCAAGGCTACCACGTCCCCGCCGTCCGTCACCGTGACGCCTTCTACCAGAAGCTCGAAGACGAGCGCGCATCATCTCTCGGCCAGAAATAAGCGACTGCCCTTCGCGAATCGACATCTCCTTTGTATCGATAAGTCACGAAAGCATAGAATGGGCATAGCTGGAGATCAGATGTATCATAGTGGGGGATCTCTCGACAGCAAGCCAAATCAGACTCCGTCAAACGACCCCACGTATGCGTCTTCACGTGTCATGTGCTTTGTGACTACGGCGAACCATATAATTACCCAGTGCCGTCGCATTCATACAGTGCCAATTAGGGAATGACGACTTCACGCGCTTACAGTTGTTGACATGAAAGCTCGAACATGTAAATCTCACGCAGGCCGCTTCTTAGGTTTGGATGTTCTGCACGTCAGAAAACCGCCGCAAAGTTTAAGCGTTTCCAGAATGCGATGCGATCCGCACCTACCCATGCCTCAACACGAGTCTGATAAACTTGCAGAAGGTTATCGGGCGGACCTGAACTTCGTCATGTGCCTAAACTTTACAACCCATCGAAGGGCTTTCTTCATCGGATCCGCGGCGGCATCATTTCGCTGATTCCACATCAAACCTTCACATCGTGGCAGGTAACGCGGTCTTTAACTATCATGTAGAGTGAATGCGCAGTTTCGGGGGCAAAGAGAAAGGGGGCCATCGAGCGTTCTCATGTATTCCTGAAGCATAGAGGAGACGTACAGAGTGATGACAAGGTTGTCGATTTGAGAGAAGTACGTGACGATGAAGATCAACCCGATATCGAATTGGGCGCACCCCATTCAAGGGAAAAACTGGACATTTATC